ACAGGAAGAGAAGATGGGAAGAGGAAACTAAGACAGACAAAAAGAAGTAGTTCTAGGTTATTAACACCTTCTAGGTTATTAACACCTGCTCAAGGTAGTTCTGGTTGTGTTCGTCCTTTAAGCTTCTACAATGTGACTTCTGAAAGCATCTTGTTGAACATCTAATTCTAGATGATTTTACCTTTTCGACAGTCATTTCAGGACAGGATAATAAATGCCTGATGATAATTTCAGTAAAATCTCCTCTTCAGTCTTGATATTTCTCAGTGATTTCAACACTGATTTTATTTGTAATAAACATTGTGGTTTTGCTTGCAACAATTCTTAAATATGTGTTGTGTTTAACTACAAACCTGTGGAAAGGGTCTGAGCTCTTCCTGTTAAAGAAAATGAAGATGGTATTAGAATAAAGCAAAGTTCTTAGAGATAATTAGTATTTATGTATTTTATTTTATTTTTTTGATTTGGAAAACCAGTGTTAGAAATTTAATCGAAAACCTGTTCTTAGGAGGAAAACAAAGAAGTCAAAAGTAAGGAGCTAACAGTAGAAGAGGAAAGTAAGAAAGAAACTGGAATGAGAAAAAATGAGACAGAATGCAGCAATAATCAGTTTTAATAGATAAATATGTTAATTAATTTTCTACTAGATACCAAGTGGCTTGAATTGGAGAACGCCTAATCTGGCTCCAGGCCCCAGTTAGGCTGTCAGCTGACCTGACAACCAATACATTTCTGGACTATATTGCAAAATACACAGGAGGACTCCACGATAAATAGATTTATTCCACCTGTGAAACATTTTAGACCAAAATATGTACTTGTTAAATAAGTTATTTTTACATTTATGTTTGAAATGTAATTTGTTTGGGTTATTTCAACACTATCACATTTATAACCCCAACCCTTATATTGTGCTCATTTTGCACACTATGAAGATATTCCAATAAAAAACAGACATTTCCTGCTCTCATAATCATTTACCACATCAACAATGCCTACACTGTATTTTTAAATAATTGAATGTTATTTTAACTGAAGAAAATGTTACTTTTTATTAAAAAACATAAGCCAATTAGAAAATGACTCCAAACGTTTGATACGTAGTGTATATTTTTGCTATTGCACCATTTTGTACACAAGATGTGTTTAAAAGAGTAAAGAAGCACAAAATTATGTTTTCTCTAAATATTTATAATAATTAGCTTTTAAAACTGAAGTAAGAAAAACAAATAGATTTGTTGACACCAATTTACTCAACATTGAAACATATTTTCAGAATTAAAAACTTAAAAATCTGGTAATAGGGACATAAAATCAAAATACAAATGAAAAAAAAAAACAAACAAAACAAAGCAGGGAAGCTGACTATATTAATTTAAATAAAGTAAATGGGATAATTTCCAGCTTCCAGTTCAAAGAATGTTTAAACTCTTTATCGCATTTTCACTGATTTTAACCTAAATTTGATCTTTTAGCTGGTGATAAAGTTCTGTGTTTTGTTACTTTCAACGCAACATTCACATGCTGTACTTAACCTACCAGGATCAGCAAAACTGGAAGGAAATGTAGCAGCTCCTGTGAAAGAAATGGATAAGAATATTAAAATGATTTCCATTTATATCCATTAGAAACTATTTAAATTTTTTTTTTGATTTGGAAAACCAGTGTAAGAAATATAACTGAAAACCTTTTCTAAGGAGGAAATTAAAAACAACCAACAGTAAGGAGACAAGAGGAATGGAAGATGCGAAGAGGAAAGTTAGAGAGAAACTGGGATGAGAAAAATGGAGACAGAATGCAGCGATAATCAATTTTAGAAGATAAATATGTTAATTAATTTTTCACCAGCTACAAAGTGCCGTGAATGGGGGTCCGTCTAATCTTGCCCCAGGTCCCATATAGGCTGACCTCAAAATCAATACATTTCTGGACTATATTGCGCAAATACACACGAGGACTCCACAATAAATAGTTTTATTCCACCTGTGAAACATTTTAACCAAAAATATTTACTTGTTAAATTAGTTATTTTTACATTGATGTTTGAAATGTAATATCTGGCAAAAACATAAAAAAGATAACTAACATAACAAAAAAATAACTGTACTTGTTTAGATTTGGACACAATGCAATACCTGTGAACTGTGGCGTTTTACCTTCTTTGGGTTTGTGGAGGACGGATTCCTCCCCCTGAGGCTTGGTGACCACCATGGATGTCAGTGGAGTCACAAAGCTGTACTTCAGGGACAGCTCCAGCGCCTCTTTGCTCACTTTCTCTTTCTCAGGTCCAGATAACAGCAGCCTGAATCACAGCATCTTGTCATAATGTGACAACATTATAAAGTGCAGCAAAAAAAAAAAATCAGAGGCCACTTTTATACAAAATAGTTTAAACGTTGAACAGAGTAGCAAAGAGTAAATGTCCTCACAACAATTTTTTTTCTTGTGGTTTTTTATTTTTTAAAAATATATACATTTCCTCATACTGAAATAAAATGTTTTCCCTTTGAAAATATTTTCTGTTTGTGCTTAAAAATGACATGAAAATTCAAAGCTTATTGTCTTTCACACATTAGTGTAATAGGAGCTAATATTTATTATCTGTGTGGGTAATGTAAAAGGAAATATCTAACCACTTATCAGTTAATTTTGTTTTACAAGTTAAATGGCATTTTGGCTTCACATGAAATAAAACCATTGATTTTCTTTTTCTGTATGTATTTATAGCATTTCTGAAGCATCAATCAGCAATAAATACTAATCATCTGTAAGGTGTCTGTCAATCCACTTGCATCTCATACTGGTTCCTTAGTCTCATAGACAATACTTAAGGCAACTGTGTTATATTTAAAACAAGTACATCGTTTTGCACAATTTCAGTCAGTTGCAATTTCACCATCATTTATTAATTTATTCATTTTTTTTTTTATCACTCGCCTCTTTAACAGCCTTAACAGTAAACCCCTAAATAAACTGAAACTATTTAAATTCTGATACCGATATATAAAAACTACCAACATAAGGACAGAAGAGAAGAAATGTCTCACTTACTCTCTGTCTAGAAGCTGTTTAACTGTGAGGTAGGCCCAAACCCTCTGCAGAAGGTTTTCAGCCACCGTTTCACTGGGCTGGTCCGTAGAACCACTTGTGTTAGAAAATGTCACTCTTCTGTTGCTCTGTCAAAAATATCACTTATTAATGGGCGACTTAGCTTTGTAGGACAGTGTAGTTGTGTGCTATGAATTGGTCCTTACTGAGTAAGCCACGACTTGGGGAGTGAAGGTTTCTACATTGTTGTCTGTGATCTCACCAGCCACAACGATTTCAGAACCGTTATAATACTGACTGAAATTTGTTTTGGTTAGATTGGATCCACCCACATAGATCATTGTAATATCTGTTAACAAAGGAGTGGCCACTTCTTCATAGAAACCCTGTTAACATGCAATAATAAATTAATACAGAATGACTTTTAAATGTAAAAACATGGTATAAGGATAACTGGTGAAAAGGAGGAGGATACCTTGAGCTGTAAATCGGCATCAGAGTCTACATAAATCCGTCTTGCCACGCCATTATTCTGCAGTGACATTTTCTCCAAAAACTCAAAATTGACATCAGAGCCAAAACCAAGACAGTAGAGTGGAAATTTTTCTGCAACAGCTTCTCTGACGTTTGACTGTATTCTTTCTAAATTAGTTTCTCCTGAAAGGACAGAAAACAGGCCATGTTAGGCTCAAATTTTCTGAACCAGCAGTTAGCATCTGAAGGTAGGTTAAAAAAGGTCTGATTTTAATCATTATTCTGACTTTATTAATCTATTCTCTTCAAGAGAGGTCTGTTTATTCTCAAAAACAAAAAAATATCTACGTAAAACCTTGTAAAATACTTTGTAATAATTTTTACAAAGGAACTGAACTTTCAGAAACCTCAACAAGGAAATTACTGTAAGTAATAATGACTATTTTATTATTTGACAGAGATTAAACATTAATAATGTTATAAACTGTATGCTTTTAAGTTAAAAAACCCTATGACGGATCAAGCTGCAAGATGAAAATGCAAGTTACAGTAAAAGATATAGTGTAAAAGAAACTGGAAATTTAAGTCTGGGATCATTTTAGAACTGAGTTTTAATTGTTTTAGTTTTAGGAAAACTAAAACAGATCTATAAATCACCACTTAGAGATTTGTATTATTAATACAAAGTATCTATACACAAACATTAATACTTAGCTTATGGTCTACAACTCATAAGTAATTCACAAAAACCTCAAAATATCACTTAAATTTTTCAGTAAAAAAAATGCCAAATTTTTCAAAAGGAGTCACTGGAAATTCTTTGCTTTGGATTCTGCTTTTGAAGAACTAATTATTTTACTTTGTGTTATTTTTGTCTAACCTGCTGTTGGGTCTCCGTCAGTGAGAAATATCAGGATGGAAGCCGAGCCTATCCTGCTTTGTGCATTCAGCATGCGAGCTCCTTCCAACAGCGCGTCATTGATGTTTGTAGCTGAGAAAGAAGAAATGATGATGTTTCTCTTCCATCACCATGCAAAATGCCACATTATCCACCAATCACCCCATCTATCCACATCATGCTGGGGTTTTTCCCAGGACATTTTTGCAGAAAAGCAGCTGAGCTACCAACTGCACAACTGTACAGCCTTGCATTATTCATATTTACTGAAAGGTCATACCTCCACCGTCACGAATACTCTGCGCAAACTCTTTAGCCCTCTCCACATTTGAAGCAATGGCTGGAACAAGTTCTGTTTTCCAGTGAAATATGGCGTGATTAAAACTGATGATACCAAAGAAGTCGTCTTCTGTCAGGTCATTTAAAATATGGATTAAAGCCGTTCGAGTCTGTGACAGAGACGCATTCAAAATATTATTTACTTCTTAAGTCTTTTCTTCAAGTGAGAGATAAATCGCATAAAAAAAGAGATGTATAAATACTTTACCTGTTCCATTTTTCTGCCGCTCATTGAGCCACTTTTGTCGATAACAAAAACGACATTTTTTGGTATTCGGGGAAGATTAGATGGAGCAAAGTGATGGACAAAGTATCCGTCTAAAATCTAATAGTAAGCAAATAAAAACAAAAGTTTGGAAAAGAAAAACAGTATGTTTGATGAAAAAAAGAATAAGAAGCTGGCTTATGTACTGAATAGCTTTGGGTGTAAAATGCAATAAAAACTAATTTTGTGGATAAAATCTTACCTTGACGTCTCCCAGTCCGTTGTCTTGGTTGACGTCATAAACAATGACCAGATCTCCATTCAGACCCCGCTCTCCACACCTTTCACAAGTTTTCTGTTGGTCCACAGTTGGATAGAAGTGCACCCACGCCTGGGGAAAAAAAAAAGATAAATCCGAAGTTGCACACTCGAAACATTATGATTTTAATTTAATTACATTTCCACGTTTTATTTAAACTGTTGATTTATCAGTTCATCTGAAATAAGCATCGTAATTACTGAACCACAATCACACAAAAGCTGACTTTCTTTTAGCTGAAATCTTTTTGTCTGAGGTTTTATTACAGCTGGAAGTGTGTCACACTTCAGTTCTTGAAGGCCAGCGTCCTGCAACTTTTAGGAGATGCCCTCGTTCAAATCGCCTCCACTCAGAGGGTAGAAATGCCTCGTCGGCTTTAAATCAAGTTCAACAGAGCTTGTGAACTAATTCAGGATCAGGTCTGGTAAAACAGAGAACCGTCTAACAGTTGAAGGACACCAGCCCTGGAGTTCAATGACAATAAGTTCAAGCAATGAAAGAAAGTTGTTCCTTTCGGTTTGAAAACATGCATTTCCTAATGAAAAAGAAGCCACGTGTATTCTTATGAATATCGGGAATTTTTAGATTTACACTTAATTTCGTGGTCTCTGGGTTTTCTTGTTTGCTTTGATTTAGTTTCTAAATCAAATATTGACAGTTTTCTTGCTTGCATACATGATAATGCATGACTGTACTTTTGTCGGTGTGTGTAGAGTTGACATAAAAGACACGTTGCACTTCTGTAGTAAGTGTTTTAGGGAACACTTTGTATTTATGTTTTTACTTTCCCAAACTTCTAGACTGTGGATACATTTACACACGCCACCAGAACCAGCTGTACCTGTTTGTCTGCGTGTGTTTTGGTGATAGCATTAGCCAGGGTGCTCAGTCCTCCTTTCACATTAATGAAACTGATCCCAGCTTTCTCATGAATGTGCACATCCACCTATGTTTGGAAAATAACACAGAGTACAGAAGACCATATCAGAGAAACTGGAGTTATCAGAGAAAGTTATAATGAGCTATAATGGATAATGAGCAAACCTTAAAGTCTCTGACTGGCTGCATGGGGCGAGCGTGGATCTGCAGCTCGTATTTGCCGTGGGTTCGCTTCAGCAGCTCCTCGTAGGTGAGTTCAAAGGTGACCTTTTTGTGGGCCGCTACAGCCACAGATGTCTTAAATTCCTCCATGGTTCTCCCTACAGAACTAGTAAAAAATAATCAGCACATGAAGTTCCAAAAATTTAAATTCAACTTTTTTACTTGTGCAAACTGGAATAGACAAAAATCGCATCTAATTCAGTCCTGTAAGTAAATCAATCCATTAGCTTATACCTGACAATCCCGGCACTTTGTCCAAGAAGCACAGCCTGACTGTACTGCTGCTGAGCTCGTTCCTTAGTTTTCACAACTCCATCAAACACTTCCTTGTCCATCATCCTGCAGACACCAAAAAGGGCCTTTGCTTAAGTTCTGCATACTTCTCTCTTAACTCCTGCATAAAATGTTTTGTCTAACATTGAAGCAATAGTAAAACAAATACATTATTAGATGTTGACATATTAAGATTCCATTAACTCACATTCTGAATTTACTGATGAAGGCATTCTTGGGAATCTGAACATGGAACACAATTTCTTTTGACTGATTCATACGGTTGGCCACACGGCTGGTGATGACGGTGGTGGCATATCGGCCGCTGACAGTGGAGTTGATGTGAAAGCTGTAAATGTCCCAGTCATCCTGCAAGAACCCAGAAAGCATAATAATAATAATAATAATAATAATAATAATAATAATAATAATAATAATAATAATAATAATAACATTACAATTCAGATTTCAGTGACTAAAAGCACTGATTATAAATCAAAGCATTAATAGGTAAAATATAACTGTTTAAACAAATTAACATGTAATTAAGCAGGTACTAAATACTAAATATTTTTATGTTGTGTTTCCATCACAGTCTGTGAGTAATCACTTTGTGAATTGAAGTATTGAATCAATACTTACACGGCAAAATAAAGTACCATATATTTGCATCTTTCTTTCTCATTTACTGATAAATTTAACTGGACAATTTCAGACGGCGTTCAGATGTCCTCTAACACTAAAGGTTTCACGAGCAATAACACATTTCAGTGCAATGGTAACTAAATAAATTATGAACAAACACACAGAACAAAGCAAAAATACAAATCACAATAATATTAACCACAGAGAAAACATTCCCTAAACTGTTCTGTTGTTGGAAGAGATCATGACCCACAGATAGATTTCTACAAAAACAATTAGTATTTAAACAGGTAATCCATACATCCTGCTGTTTTGCAGTGTGCTTCTCTGTCCTGTTACTATACCTTCGTTGGTTGTGCAGCAGCGAAAGCCAGCAGAAGCCCAAAGAGGACGATCTGCTCCACAGAGCTCCCCATAGCACCTCGGAGCAGATTCAAACAGAACCAGCTGGATCTTTCCGCTAAACTCAAAGTGAGTTCTTGTTTGTACACATTTTAAAAGCCAAATCATGTAGAAAGAACAAAAAAATAAAACATGAAAGCTCCACCCATCCGCCTCCACTCAAGTCAACAGAAATTTGACGTAATCCTGCTATGTGCATAACCTTTACGATTGATTCTGAATGTCCAGCTTCTGGACTTTGTTCACGTATGTTTGGTGAACACCATCCCGCTAATTTGAAAACCTACAAAAGTTATATAACTGAGACAGTTTGACCAGAACACATGCTTTGATAGGCAAACAGGCAAAGAACAGAGATAACTTGTTTTAAAGTTCAAATTTATTCATGACGTTTTCAAATATTTTCAGGCTTTTTGACGATGTTGGTAAGACAGGATATGGGCAAGATGCTATTTCATAAAAACAAACACAGATAAATTGCTTTTAAGCGTAGCTTTGCAAGACAGAGAGGAAGAAAAGATATATGAGCCAGAACCCTTATATGATCTCAAAAATATTAAATATCTGCATTCCTTTATTAATATACAATCAGAATTAAACAAACAGCAATCAATAACAACAAAAATCTTCCAGGATCTATATGCATTAAAACAGTAAGGTTATTGAACATTAATGGGTTTCATTTTTGCCCCTTTCACCTCCTTTAATGGTACAAATGTTTTTTATTTATGTTTAATTTTCTTTAAACGTACTTTAAAACGATATCATTTTTTTCACTGATCCTGACTAATAGGCATTTGAATGCTGGTAATGTTGTTTTAAATGTGCATTTGGTCATTCATTATAGCTTCCAGTTAAAGTTGTGCAACAAAGTAATCATTCAAAGTCCTCTCCAGGGCAAAGTCAGCTCCCACCAGCCAACAGTTCATTGGTACAGGATTGGCAATGCTGTAGTCAGTTGCAGTGGATCTGAAAGAAAAAGAGAATTAAACAACTCTATTTTTGTTGCCAAACAAAAAAATATATATATAAAAAAGAACAGAATACAAAATATACCTGAAAGCAGGAGCCTCTCTGTCATTGAGCTTCAGTTTCCCATCAGATTGTTGCAGATGCACCTGATAGTCTGCTGGTTTTAAAGCTGCACTCAAAAATGCAGGACTTAGCATTAAAAAGCTGGCTCAGAATAACCTTCAAATACTGTGTTTGGATGAGCTGCAAGCTACAGTAGATGCATCTTTTCCAAAAGTTCATAATTGGGAAAAAAAAAGAATTTTTACTCACCTAAAAGTCCCTCTGTGTCATTGGCAGATGGCATCTGCCGCAAAACAGGCCAGAGGAATTTGTTCCCGTCCTTCTCATGAATGAAGATAACCAAGCGCACATCCTCCACCGCAACATCTATTTCTTTGACACGCATGATCACTGTAAGACTAGAAAAATGCACACAGCCTAAGATTAACTTCTGTTTTCCAGCCTTTAGAAAATCACATTAGCTCTGGTAAGAAGGTCCACATCTCTTTTGGAGCATTCATGGACTAGAAATCTGTCATTTTATCATGACAAGTACACCAAAAATACCATTAAGTAATATTTAAATCAAGTTCCTTTGCACACTCTAATTCAGAAACTAGTGATAATAAAAAAAATCTATTGCAAAAAGCCCAGTGTTAAATTTGAAGATAATTGTTGTTTCTTAGAAGGAAGTTGTAAGTTGTAAATGACAGAAGGTCACCGTCCAGCTGTGATGAGATCCTGTCCAGTGTGCCGCGTCGCAGTCTGTCCCTGTTGAAGACTGATTCCCTCCGGATCAACCTCAATGTGCTGGTCAGCGCTGATGTGAATAACGATCTTAGTGAAGCCTCCGTTTGTTAGCGAATCCAGCTCACCATTTACAAACAGCGCTGAAACCAAGAACATCAAATAAAGGTGGAGACCATTTCAACATGGAAGTTTTGAAAACAAACTTCTCATCTTGAAATGACACAAATAGAAACATTACGAACCCTTGCTAGGATGGTGAAGCAGTTTGAAAATGTCAGCTTTACTGACATCAAAGCAAAGTGGAAGAGGCTGATTTTCAGCTTTCCGAATAAATCTGTGAGAAACAGGAACTGGACGGAGAGGAAAGTTTTGTGTTAAAAAACAGATGTCATAAACCGACACGGTCATTCATTTCAGCTACACATGAAATAATCTGAGTTTCATCTACGGAAATTTGATGATGATTATTATTCCTATAAAAAAAGAATGCAGCTCTAACGTAAACAAATAGCTTCAACTGATCACAAGTAACTGAGTTACATTTATTTATTTAACTTAAATAGGATAAACTTCCTTAATAAATTACTGCTAAACTACTTATTTAAGACGGATCACATATTCTCTTTTTTCAGTACTGAAAAGGAAAAACTCAATACAGTATAACTTACTGTATAGTTTCTGTGTTTTTCATTTTACAGTTGCATTCTATGTTTTGCCTGATCTGTTTTCTCCAGCAGTATTTCATCAGTTTCAGATCAATTTGTCCTTATTATGCTAATTTCTCACTATATTTCTTCAACGGGGTTACCAATTGTGCTACCGGACAGCTGGAAAAAGTAATAACTTTTCTGAAGTTATGTAGGCTGTAAATCTGCATAACTATTTTTGTTGCCAAAAAAAAATAAAAAATAAAAAAAATTGTGAAAAAGAACAGAATACAAAATGTTCAGGCCAAAGTGTCATAATTAATGGATAGGTAATACGTTACCGGGTGTTGTTGTCATTTCTATTTCCGTCGACTGAGTCATTGCAATAATAGTGGGGTGCATATCTGTAAACAAAGTTTGATATATTGAAAGCTTAATCTCAGAGAAGAGGAGATTTCTTTAACCATTTGCTTTAACCAGTTCAGTATTTACATCACTATGAAAAAATATTTGCCCATTAAAACTTTTCGTTTGTTTGTTTTTTAGTTTTTGTTTTCTGTCACAATTAGGTTTCAGAACAAACAAATTCTACCATCAGTAAAATTTATCATAAGTGAACTAAAAAAACTTTGTCACCTGATTTATTATTTATTAATTTTGTTTAGATATTAAGTAATCAACCAATTTATAGCTTATATATTTAATTTCACTGATTGTACTGATTAAAGGCAGATTTCTAGAATCAAGACATCATGTAACTAGAACCTGCCTGACAACATGAGGTGAGCTAAGGTGCTGTGTCAAAGTATTTCTTCCATATTTGCTCTTTTCAGGCCAAAGTGTCATAATTAATGGAACCATGAGTTCTTTCTGAAGGAGAAAGTTTGGTCCTCGGCTAGTGACTTTAGCCTCAGGCATACTTTGGTTTATCGTCACCAAGATTATTCACATCACACCAGCAAAACCCTCTCTGACTGGCTAAAAAATACAAAATCAAGGTTTTGGAGTGGCCTTGTTAAAATTTTGACTTGAATTCGTTAAGCTACTGGGGCATGGCCCAAAACGAGTCGCTCATGTAACATGTCCTATTATTATTTTGCTTGTAAGTCATGTACAGAAAATATCGAAAGGAGCCATATGAGATTTAAAACATAGACATTCTGTCTAATGAATTCATTTTTATGATTTAAAAAATGGAAAACCTTGATTTTATCGTTGACGATATCAAGAAATGTTTTTTTTTTTTTGCAATGCTGCTTATAGTAGAACTTTTGTGTGATGTGACATACCATATAAGTCGTAATCAATCCCTATATTAGATGACAATATGGACCACCCTGAAATGAAAGAGGTAATAATATTGAAATTACGCACAGTCATTTATCAGATCTTCAAAAGTAACAATAACCACTAGAAACAATAAGTACTAGATAATTATAAAAGTGTTTTACCTTTTCACTTTTTTTAAATTAACTGTCATTAAAAGCAATATGGATTTTGTAAATAATTAATCAATTAAATAAGAGCAACTCTTTTTTGAAGCAGAAGTGTACCAGACACTGAAAAAGTGATTTAATGAGCTGAAATTTGCTGGTGTTGTGCCAAAAAGTGATGATCTGCCTTAAATGGATCGCATGCTGTGTTATGAGTGTATGAATCTTAAAAACTGTATTGTTTCAAATAACTTGCAGGGTTTGCAGTTAAAAAATTGGTCAAACCATATTATTGCTAAGACACAGATTTGTCTATCAGACACTTAAACAGATTTTTTGTCTCCCTTAATTGATTCCCAGAAAGCTTCATGTCAGAGCATTATAATGCTTTTCAAATGGTTCAGGCTTCAACTTTTCTATATTTCTCCCCTCCTTATCTGTGCTGCATTCACTCTGATTACCCAAACATGTCGCAAAGACATTTTTTCTCTTTCTTCTAGTGATTGGTTGCACTGGTGCTACATTAGTTTTATTTAGATGTTGAGAAACTAGGTCTCGTGCGTTACTTGAAATCTGTCTGTGGTGATGTGAAGGAAGAAAACTACGACGTCCAAAGTGTCCTATTCAAAACAAAGAGACGATAACGTTAAAATCACACGCATCCGTTCATTTCAAAATGATATTGAGATAATTTCTGATGATCTCAAGATGTGTGTTATATTCACTGTCTTTATCTGATTATCCCAACATGCCGCAAAGGCTTTTTTCTTTCCTCAAAAGAATAATTTGCTTAGGCCGACTTTTGAGAAATTAGGTGTCATGTGTGACCAAATTGGTCTTTCTCTATAAGCTCTGATTTTATGTAATTATTCTCATGACAGTGTGTGGTCTATTATACCATGTGAACCAGGATGTCGAGAGAGCCCAACACGTCCTATTCAAAACAAAGATAACGTTAAAATCACATATATCTGTGAATTTAAAATTTATATTGAGATAGTTTTATTCTGCACACACACATAAACTGTTTATAGAGAAACTGGTCTTTCTCTATAAGCTCTGATTTTATGTAACGCTTCTCATGACAGTGTGTGGCCTATTATACCATTTAAAAAAGAATGTCCAGCGAGCCCAACATGTCCTATTCAAAACAAAGAGAAGATAATGTTAAAATCACATAGAAAATTAAAATTTATATTGAGAAGGTTTTATTCTAAACATTAACATGAACTGTAGACAGGGATATGCCAATTATTCCAAAAAGATATGGATTTAACACTTTGGTAACACTTTATTTGAAGGGGTGTGAATAAGACTGACATGACACTGTCATAAACATGACATAACACCTGTCATGAGCATGAATAAGTCTTCATGAATATTTATGACTGTTGTCATAAAGTGTCATTCGGTAAATCATGACATTTCTAATACAAAGTTGACATTGTTTAAAATGTCCTTATGACAACTTGACATTAATCTAGACAAAAATGTCTTCGATATGACAACTTAACATTAACCAAGAATCATATGTCATAAGTATGTCATAATAGTAGACATAATGATTTAATTGTTACACTACCAAAAGCTTTAACAAAACAGCAATTAATATTCCCACTGCCTGAGAAAAAGCTAAACAAGTAGGACCAACAATAAAGATTTCATTGAGCTTCATTACACTGTGAAATGATTAAATAACAGATCAATAGCAATTTCTTTTACATCAAGTGGAACAAGTAACACCAGTTATGAATATGTCATTAAGTGTTATTACAGTCTCAATAAGTAAAGTGAAACAAGTAGCAACAGTTATGAAGATGTCATTACAGTGTCATTAATATTAACTCTTACTTCAAGTAAAGTGAACCTAGTAGCAACAATTATAAAGATGTCATTTAGTGTTATTACAGTGTCAAATGCTATGCTAACAGCGTCACTGATATTAAGTCTTACCTCAAATGAAGTGAAACACACTGGACTACTTATAACTACCATCATAGCTGTAGAACAAAACATTTGTACATTGGAATAAAACAAAAAAAATAACTTGTTCTTCAAACAGAGGGTTTAACGTCTGGTCAGTATATTGTTACTCTGAAATACAGATTGAAAGACTAAAACAAAATTACTTATTCTTTAACTTAAGAAAATAGGTTCTTTCAACAGTAACATTTTTTTGCTTTGATTGTGTCAGCCATCTCCTTTGTTATAGCCTTCCTGTAATGCTCTGAAAACAGGAGATCTTCTTGTTTTCATTTCCCAGAAGCAGCTCTTTGAAGGTGTCCAGAAATGCTTAGAAATTACAGCTGTTCTTGCAATAGTTAATCATGGTGAAAGCCTTTTCATGAATTCAAACTTGGTGAATCTCTTCTGGAGAACTCGGTGATGACTCAATTCATTGTGGTCACTTAAAAAAAAAGAACAAAACCAAAAAACAATGTCATTTATTTAAATACCATTCCAAAAATGTCCCTTGCTGCACACTGTCAGAATGGTAGACTGGCAGACAAATGTCTAGTTAACATGACTGGTTGTTATGAAATGCAATACAATCATTTCTTAACACAAGTAGCATAATAAATGGAGCTGAACAAAATTATTCTGATCAAATATTTGTTTGGCAGAAGTTCAGACAGTCTGCCACTGTTATTCGAATGCATCATTTAATGTATAGTTTTAGGCACATGAGTGTATCTTTTCACTTAATGAGCATTATAAGCTATTTCCATTAATAACCAGATACTCTGGCTTATTGATGTTTGCAAGAAGCTTATTAATAAATAAATAGATTTAACATCAGTTTTAGTTGTCTAAAACGTAACTTAACTCAGCTGGTGAATGTTGATTCCTGCTCCCCATTCCCCACTTACCTGGCTGTCCCACCCCACTTCACATGGTGAAAATATTAACACAAAAACGACTTACCTAATTTTCTTGGGGAATATTTCATCTGCTTCTTTCTCTTTGGTCAAATAGGAACTTCTTTCTCTGGTGGCTGGTCCTTATTATCATCCTCCACACTCGTAGCATGTCTTCATTAGCCAACTTTGTCCTCCCCACCATGTGTCCTTAGGCTAGCCTGGGTCTTCATGTGGCTAAAGTTTCCAAAGCAAAGAACACAAGCACTGTGTCACATCAGCCAAGTTGCTAAATAACGCACATAAAGGATAACTTTGACTAACATATTAGCTTTTAATTTGCTAGATTAAAATTGGAGGGAAAAAAACTAATTTGACTATCTTTAAAACATGTTTAATATTAAGGGCTAACATTACAGTAATGGAGTTTAATAACTTTAGCTAACATTAACTTACAGCAAGGTAGGATTGGCTTGAATTGCTCATAGCTAACATTACAGAGAAAGAGAACATAGTCAATGTTATTTTCTCAAAGAAAATGTAAAGTTAATAAGACACATACCTCATATGTATTAGGTGTCAAACTTTGGCTTCTTTTTAAACAGGAGGTCTGGCCGTTATAACTTGTGTTAGGTTTGCGCCACAATATGGAAGATTTCTTCTTCACCAACACACTGCACGCCTGTTCGTGCACTGCTGCCTCTCACTGGTGGAGATGGTGTACTGCACTACTTAAAACAGCCTTAAATAATGTTTCATTATTTAAGGCTGTTAAATAATGAAACGTTATTTCATTATTATTTCATGATGTAGACATCAGAGTTCATAGATGTGTATATCTATGAACTTTGTAGATGTAGGCATCTACAAAGTTCATAAGTGCTTTGTAGATGTCTTGCTGTAAAACTTTAGGATCAATTAAATTAAGAAATGTAAGACTAAACAAAATGGCAGAGCAATATAATATTACCACATAAAGCTAATTTTTAAAGTTTAATCGGTAATACTTTATAATAAATTTATGTCAGATCACGATTTCTTGGTTAATGTCAAATTGTCATAACGAAGACAATTGTGCCTAAATTAATGTCAAATTGTCATAACAGAGATTTTGAATAATGTCAACTTTGTATTAAAGGTGTCATAATTTACCAAATGACACTTTATGACAACAGTCATAAATATTCATGAAGACTCATTGATGTTCATGACATGTGTTATGTTTATGACAGTGTCATGACAGTCTTATTTACACCCCTTCAAATAAAGTGTTACCAACACTTTTAATATTTCATTTCCTGCTACTCACGTTGATGTATAAATATACATAAATACAATTCCTCCAAAATTCTGCAGGAAAATTTTTCAGCCAAAAATAAATAAATAAATAAATAAATAAATAAATAAATAAATAAATAAATAAATGGCAAGGCCAGGTAGAAATAAATTTGGGAATAAATAAATGTATAAATGATTAAATATAAATGGGAATAAAGATGCCGATAACTCATTTATTTATTTACTTTAGTCATTTATTTATTTATTTTTACTCATTTATTTATTTTGCTCATTTATTTATTTATTTATTTTATTTTGGCTGAAATGGCTCTCCATACTTTTGCTGTATTTTTTGTTAAATTAAACTGTATATTCAAGAAAAATCAAGCATTTTTCACACAATATAATCTGAGTTATCGTTTTTTTGGACAAAGACTCTTTTTTGTTTTATATTTGCCTAATATTGCAGATATTGCGTCCAATTTTTCACAGATGGATATTTAAGCTAAATGATTATTAAAAAAAAAATGCTTTATCATCATTTCATCATGATGCATCTTACTGTCATTGATTCCATAAAAAAGAAGGCAGAGAAGGAGACATTTACTGTTGGCTGGTGTGGCGTAACTTTCGACCCGGGGTCCGTCGCCCTCTTTGGGTTTGTGGAGGACTTCTATGTCCTCCCTCTGTGGCTTGGTGACCACCATGGATGTGAGTGGGGTCACAAAGCTGTATTTCAGGGACAGCTCCAAGGCTTCGCTCTTCACTTTCTCTTTCTCAGGTCCAGATACCAGCAGCCTGCATTGTAAGTGTGACAACTGAGATAAACAGCAGCAAAACATTGGGCACTTTTACGCTTTGAATGTTTATGCTTTTCATCCAACATCGTGAACATTGTCATTCAGATGGTATATTTTTGTCTGACAGCTGCTCTTAAAATGTAAAACTCTAGAGCGTACTTCCTTTATACAATGACTATAACATACATGGAGCTGCAATTAGATTCAACGATCATGATTATTCATTTTTAGCTTTGAATTGGTCATTTGAAATGTTCTTCTTTCCAGGGTGATACAATAAGATAATACATAATTTCAGCAAATTTGCTCTTTATGTTTAAACTCCCAGTTGGTTAGCAGATGGCTGCTCAGAATGGACCACTGAGGTTAGATCCTGCTGGCTGTCGGCTCTCCGGATAGCAGGGATTCATGCTGCTCAGTATGGGGAGCAGCGCTTCCTCTCCCGTTACTGTACTACTGCTGCTGCGTCCCCTGCTTCTACTAATGTACCCACTACTGCTGCTGCTTCCTCCACAGCTGAATCCAACGTTTTAGCTTTAACTTTACACCGTGGAATAAATGGTAAAAGCTAAGGCGAAATATTTAATTGATTAACATTGTTTTACTGATTATCTTTTATGGGCGTGGGTGTCTATATGGTGCGCTGATGTATTCGCCTTCTGTCAATTGAATCCTCTCTCACATCAGTTTGTCTAAAAATGTATCATCAATGCCAAGAGTTTTGTTTTGGCACAAAGGTAATTCAACAAGAAAATAATGTCAATTTTGAAAGAAAAAAAAGTTGTTTGTTCTTATTTGCATTGTAATAAAAATTGTATGTAGAAAATTATTTATATTCAGCTTCATAATCAATGGAAAAAATTTTGGCATTACAGCCAGAAAACCTAATAACAATAACAAGCCACCCTCTAAATTGCTTTCCCTGTTTTTTGATAAATTGTCTTTGGCTATTGTTAGGTAAATTGTATTATTATCAACTATTTGTTATATCTTTATGTTCTTAGTTTATGTATTCTTACTTATTTAGTTTAGTCATATGTTTTAAGGAATGTTTCTGTATTGTTAATCACTCTGCTTCCTTCCTCAGAGAGGGCCTCTCTGAAGAAGAGCAGTGACAGCAGCTCTTCTCAGAACGCCCTGCTTTAACCTCTTAGATAGTTATAAAACCATCGCCGTGAAGATGTACAACTTGTCCTGCTTGATCCTGGGTCAGGAACTGGATAAGCTAGTGCGAGATAGATTGTGTTGTTAGTTAGTGATAATCTGGCGCTGTGACTGTGTGATGAAGTGTCTTTTCCCCTCCCCTTAGAGTTACAGCGCTCTCTGTGATTAGGGATCCTAAAGAGAGGGGCAGGCAAATGTGCTTCAGAGCAGTAGGAGATTTGTAACTGAAAGCACATCTCTGTCTGTTCTCGCGAGTATTAAGAATCTAACTTTCTCTTGTCTTTCCTGTATTATGTGCTGTGTTTAATAGGTGTCAACCCTGACAGCTATGGGCTCCAAGTCTTTGATTCAAGCCAGATTCAAGTCAGAACTGTGACTGAGCCACTTAAAAATATTATGTCCAGTAAAGAACCATGTGTATTTCATTAAAAGATTATCTTAAGCCTGGACCTGGATAAGATTTCAAAGTGAAAATCCTTTTTGTGCCCATCGATTAAAATTGTAGTGGAAAACTGCAAACAGAATCCTAAATAAAAATAGAAATGAAATGTGACATATTGTACCACTTACTCTTTCTCCAGAAGTTGTTTCACAGTAAGGTAGGCCCAAACCCTTTGAAGAAGTCCATCAGCAATTCCAGCAGAAGAATTCACAAACTCATTTGTTTTAGAAAATGTCACTTTTTGTTTACTCTGTCATAATGCAAAAACAAATTTAAAGTGAATACACAACTTTTTAAAATAATCTAGAAAAAAGTCCTAATAATTAGACATTGTAGATTGATCCTTACTGAAATTGCAATAACTTCTGGCACAAAGTCTTCAATGTTGTTGTCAATGATCTCACCGGCCACCACGATCTCAGAGCCATTATAATACTGACTGAAATTAGTCTGGGTCAGATTGGTTCCACCGACGTAGATCATTGTGACGTCTGTTAGGAGAGGATTGGCCACTTCTTCATAAAAGCCCTGTTGATGTATAGTTTTATACAGTGAAGATGGCAGTTTTCTGCATAAAAATGTTGGAAATTGATAAGAAGAGTATTGGTGAAATGGAGGAGGATACCTTGAGCTGCAAATCAGCATCAGAGTCTTCATAGATCCGTCTTGCTACACCGTTGTTCCCCAAAGACATTTTCTCCAAGAATTCAAAATTGACATCAAATCCAAAACCAAGACAGTAGAGAGGAAACTTCCCTGCAATCGCCTGTCTTACATTTGATTGTATTTCTTCGCGATTTGTCACTCCTAGAACGACACCAGATTAAAACTTTTAACATATTCATAATTTCAACAGGATGGTGATATACTGTGAATGAAAGAATGGATTAAGTACCAACAGAGTAAATATCTCATTATTGAATTAACATTTTGAAGGTGTTTGTTCTAGTGCATGTGAGTGTGTTTTAAATTTACCTGATGTTGGGTCTCCATCTGTGAGAAGTATTAGGATGGAAGCTGAACCTTCTCTAGGATGTGCATTCAGCATGCGAGCCCCTTCCAACACTGCTGCGTTGATGTCTGTGGCTGAGAGAAGTAAAAACAAAATTCATTACTTGTCATCCTGCTGCAAGATGTTTGTATTCCTGTGTACTGAGAAATCTCACCTCCTCTGTCAGTGATACCATGTGCAAATTTCTTGGCACCCTCCAGATTTGCACTGGTGGCCTGAACGAGTTCTCTTCTCCAGTGAGATATTTCGCTGTCAAAACTGAGAAGACCAAAGAAGTCGTCTTCGGCCAGGTCGTTCAATATATGGATTAAAGCAGTTCTGGTCTGTGGAAGAGACACACATAAATAATAAGGTAAGAAACAGTCAATAATTTGTTTTGGGTGAATCACACACTGTTTGTTTAATTGTAACAAGCCTTTGAAATAATTTACCTGTTGCATTTTTCTGCCGTGCATTGAGCCACTTCGATCTATAACAAAGACGACGTTCTTTGGTATTCGGGGAAGGTCTGATGGAGCAAAGTGATGGACAAAGTATCCGTCCAAAGTCTTGGAAGAAGTAAAAACATGCAAATGAGTGAAAGAGTGAAAGATACATCGACTTTTTGGTCATGTTTTAAGCTAAACACATCTTCATATCTATCTGTAATAGTAATTGTTTTCGGGAGTGTTTCACCTTGATGTCGCCCAGTCCGTTGCCTCGATTTACGTCATAAACAACAATCAGATCTCCATTCAGACCCCGCTCTCCACAGCGCTCACAAGTTGTCTGTTGGTCCACCGTAGGATAAAAATACACCCATGCCTGAAACAACGTAAGAGAATTATGTTTCTTATGTCACACAGGAGGCTTTGCGAAGTTGTGTTTACATTTGTGTATTTATTTGATGTGTATTTAAGTGATGATATAAAGGGAAATCATTTAAATTGGTGCTATNTTAAGTGTTATTACAGTCTCAATAAGTAAAGTGAAACAAGTAGCAACAGTTATGAAGATGTCATTAAGTGTTATTACAGTCTCAATAAGTAAAGTGAAACAAGTAGCAACAGTTATGAATATGACATTAAGTGTTATTAGTCTCAATAAGTAAAGTGAAACAAGTAGCAACAGTTATGAAGATGTCATTAAGTGTAATTAATATTAACTCTTACCTCAAGTAAAGTGAAACAAGTAGCAACAGTTATGAAGATGTCTTTTAGTGTTATTACAGTGTTAAATGCTATGCTAACAGAGTCACTGATATAACGTCTTACCTCAAATGAAGTGAAACACACTGGACTACTTATAACTACCATCATAACTGGAGAAAAAACCCTTTGCACATTGGAATAAAACAAAAGATAACTTGTTCTAAGATAACAGAGGGTTTAACGTCTGTTACTCTGAAATGCTGATTGAAAAACTAAAACAGAATTACTTGTTCTTTAACTTAAGAAAATAGGTTCTTTCAACAGTAAATTTTTTTGCTTTGATTATGTCAGCCATCTCCTTCGTAATAGTCTTCCTGTAATGCTCTGAAAACAGGAGCTCTTCTTCTTGTCTTCCATTTCTGGAAGCAGCTCTTTGAAGGTGTCCAGAAATGCTCAGAAATTACAGCTGTTCTTGCAATAGTTAATCATGGCGAAAACCTTTTCATGAATTCAAACTTGGTGAATCTCTTCTGGACATTCTCATAGTCGGTGATGACTCAATTCATTGTGGNCAAACTTCGGCTTCTTTTTAAACAGGAGGTCTGGCCGTTATAACTTGTTAGGTTGGCGCCACAATATGGAAGATTTCTTCTTCACCAACACACTACACGCCTGTTCGTGCTCTGCTGCCTCTCACTGGTGGAGATGGTGTATTGCACTACTTAGCCCTTTGTTTAGAAATGGCGTCCATACCAACCAACCCCACACACGTAAAACTTTTATCATTTGCCACAGTTCTTTTTGTTTGCCTCAGTCCTCGCACGCACAAGGGTTAAAACAGCCTTAAATAATGTTTCAAATGCTAAGTTCATAAGTACTTTGTAGACATATTGCTGTAAAACTTTAGGATCGATTAAATTAAGAAAATTAAGACTAAACAACATGGCAGAGCTTTGTAATATTACTACATAAAGCTAATTTTTAAAGTTTAATCGGTAATACTTTATAATAAATTTATGTCAGATCACGATTTCTTGGTTAATGTCAAATTGTCATAACGAAGACAATTGTGCCTAAATTAATGTCAAATTGTCATAACAGAGATTTTGAATAATGTCAACTTTGTATTAAAGGTGTCATAATTTACCAAATGACACTTTATGACAACAGTCATAAATATTCATGAAGACTCATTGATGTTCATGACATGTGTTATGTTTATGACAGTGTCATGACAGTCTTATTTACACCCCTTCAAATAAAGTGTTACCAACACTTTTAATATTTCATTTCCTGCTACTCACGTTGATGTATAAATATACATAAATACAATTCCTCCAAAATTCTGCAGGAAAATTTTTCAGCCAAAAATAAATAAATAAATAAATAAATAAATAAATAAATAAATAAATAAATAAATGGCAAGGCCAGGTAGAAATAAATTTGGGAATAAATAAATGTATAAATGATTAAATATAAATGGGAATAAAGATGCCGATAACTCATTTATTTATTTACTTTAGTCATTTATTTATTTATTTTTACTCATTTATTTATTTTGCTCATTTATTTATTTATTTATTTTATTTTGGCTGAAATGGCTCTCCATACTTTTGCTGTATTTTTTGTTAAATTAAACTGTATATTCAAGAAAAATCAAGCATTTTTCACACAATATAATCTGAGTTATCGTTTTTTTGGACAAAGACTCTTTTTTGTTTTATATTTGCCTAATATTGCAGATATTGCGTCCAATTTTTCACAGATGGATATTTAAGCTAAATGATTATTAAAAAAAAAATGCTTTATCATCATTTCATCATGATGCATCTTACTGTCATTGATTCCATAAAAAAGAAGGCAGAGAAGGAGACATTTACTGTTGGCTGGTGTGGCGTAACTTTCGACCCGGGGTCCGTCGCCCTCTTTGGGTTTGTGGAGGACTTCTATGTCCTCCCTCTGTGGCTTGGTGACCACCATGGATGTGAGTGGGGTCACAAAGCTGTATTTCAGGGACAGCTCCAAGGCTTCGCTCTTCACTTTCTCTTTCTCAGGTCCAGATACCAGCAGCCTGCATTGTAAGTGTGACAACTGAGATAAACAGCAGCAAAACATTGGGCACTTTTACGCTTTGAATGTTTATGCTTTTCATCCAACATCGTGAACATTGTCATTCAGATGGTATATTTTTGTCTGACAGCTGCTCTTAAAATGTAAAACTCTAGAGCGTACTTCCTTTATACAATGACTATAACATACATGGAGCTGCAATTAGATTCAACGATCATGATTATTCATTTTTAGCTTTGAATTGGTCATTTGAAATGTTCTTCTTTCCAGGGTGATACAATAAGATAATACATAATTTCAGCAAATTTGCTCTTTATGTTTAAACTCCCAGTTGGTTAGCAGATGGCTGCTCAGAATGGACCACTGAGGTTAGATCCTGCTGGCTGTCGGCTCTCCGGATAGCAGGGATTCATGCTGCTCAGTATGGGGAGCAGCGCTTCCTCTCCCGTTACTGTACTACTGCTGCTGCGTCCCCTGCTTCTACTAATGTACCCACTACTGCTGCTGCTTCCTCCACAGCTGAATCCAACGTTTTAGCTTTAACTTTACACCGTGGAATAAATGGTAAAAGCTAAGGCGAAATATTTAATTGATTAACATTGTTTTACTGATTATCTTTTATGGGCGTGGGTGTCTATATGGTGCGCTGATGTATTCGCCTTCTGTCAATTGAATCCTCTCTCACATCAGTTTGTCTAAAAATGTATCATCAATGCCAAGAGTTTTGTTTTGGCACAAAGGTAATTCAACAAGAAAATAATGTCAATTTTGAAAGAAAAAAAAGTTGTTTGTTCTTATTTGCATTGTAATAAAAATTGTATGTAGAAAATTATTTATATTCAGCTTCATAATCAATGGAAAAAATTTTGGCATTACAGCCAGAAAACCTAATAACAATAACAAGCCACCCTCTAAATTGCTTTCCCTGTTTTTTGATAAATTGTCTTTGGCTATTGTTAGGTAAATTGTATTATTATCAACTATTTGTTATATCTTTATTATGTTCTTAGTTTATGTATTCTTACTTATTTAGTTTAGTCATATGTTTTAAGGAATGTTTCTGTATTGTTAATCACTCTGCTTCCTTCCTCAGAGGAGGCCTCTCTGAAGAAGAGCAGTGACAGCAGCTCTTCACAGAACGGCCTGCTTTGACCTCTTAGATAGTTATAAAACCATCGCCGTGAAGATGTACAACTTGTCCTGCTTGATCCTGGGTCAGGAACTGGATAAGCTAGTGTTAGATAGATTGTGTTGTTAGTTAGTGATAATCTTGGCGCTGTGAGTGTGTGATGAAGTGTCTTTCCCCTCCCTTTAGAGTTACAGCGCTCTCTGTGATTAGGGATCCTAAAGACAATAAAAAGAGAGGAGCAGACAAATGTGCTTTCAGAGCGGTAGGAGATTTGTAACTGAAAGCACATCTCTGTCTGTTCTCCTCGCGAGTATTCAGAATCTAACTTTCTCTTGTCTTTCCTGCGTTATGTGCTGTGTTTAATAGGTGTCAACTCTGACATAATCTCAGGTTTCAGGTAGATTTTTATAAATTAGTACTTTATCAAATCTAATTTTTGTACAAAAATTT